GGGCCTAGTTCGCTCGAGGTGGGTAGTAACGTGATGAAGAGGAAATATCTCTGCTCTAGTGGACAAGCGTGCTGACTGCAGAAGCTGCCGATTTCTCAGGCCTTACTACCCTCTCCCGACCACTCCCGACCTCTCCCGATAGTCAGGTACCCCTTTTGGGCCTTGTAGCCTGCCGACTCCCCTCCCCCATTAAGACCCCTGTTGTTTTCGCCTCCTATTTTGCGCCTCCTCTTTAAGGATTGAAGGAGGCGGAGTTGGGATGCCAGCGCCACTGTTGCCAAGGCAACAGCTTGGTTACTTCCGTTGGTTTCAATGCTTCCGGGTTGGCGCTGCAGTGGTGTTTCCGACTGTGGGAGCCTCGGCTTCCCAGTCGTCCGATGAACCCGAGCAGGTGAGGGGGAGCTCCTGCATTTCCAGGCTGGGGAGCGGGGCTGGGCCGCGCCAGGCCCCGCGGGGCCGGGCTGGCCTGGTTCCCGGCCTGGGAGGGGCTTAACGGTCCTTTGGTCTCTCTCTCCCCTCAGCTGAGTCCCTTCCCTGTCTTTCACTCTTCTGGCATCGTTGGTTTTACTTCTTCGATTGAACCCTGCTTCCTCGAACCCCCTGGGAGGCCGCCTCCTCAGGCGCCTCCCTTCTCTTCACGAACTCGCTCTGACAGCCGAGGAACTGGCAAGATCCTGCTACCCAGAGGGTGAATGGGTATCTTTCCTGGAATAATCCTAATTTTTCTAAGGGTGAAGTTTGCAACGGCGGCCGTGATTGTAAGCGGAGTAAGCAAACACCTCCATTGTATTAGTGTGAGGGGTGCTGTTGAAAGTTGCTCCCCTTCAGTTTCTACCCTTCCACTCCTTGAGGTCAAGGCATTGAAGGCATCTATTAAAATGCAGTTCAGATAACTAATTGTGATGACAGCCTTTATCAGCACGAATTAATTTCTCAGACAAGGTAATAGCAGGGACATTTGTAATTTTCTATTAGTATTTCCTTTCTTTTTTTTTCCAGGCTAGGAATGCTTAGAGTTACCATGAACTCCTCATCTTCATTCCCTATATCATCAAGTTCCTTTGTGTCTCCATTTTAAGAATTTATCTCTAACCTCACTGCCAACAAACACCTTGTCTGCTTTACTTCATACCATCCTAAGCTAGTTTCCCTGGCTCTCCCATTTGTAATCGCTTTGCTGCAGCCCTGGTAAGCTAACTAAAATGTGGATTTCCTCAAATCACTTCCCTGTTTAAAATTTTACAGTATCCCTCATACCCCAAGTCTTTCAACATGACCTGTTCCTTGTAATTCTTGATTAATATTTCAATGATGTAAGGGAATTTTCTGTTCCATTTAGGTTGTACTCTTCTCAGAGCAAACCATGTTGATGTTTGCCTCCATGTGCTGTGCTTTCCCCCACATTTGTGTGTCTGTTCATTCTGCTCTCCTCCCCCTGCCTTTTTCCTTACCTGCAACCTATCCTGCTTTGTGCCAAGGCCATTTTAAATTCTCTCAATTTCACCAACCTTTCCAAATTATGTAGGCCCATGCTGATTGTCTCCTTTTCCATGCTTATTTTGCTCTTATAGTTTGTATTTTATAGTTTAGCACTTAACTTTTCTTTAATGAACTACTCTGATTTCTTCTACCAGATTATAAATTATTGAAAGGCAAGCATTGTATTTTATAGAATCTTTATCACCACCTTATTCTCCTTGATTATCCAGGAAGTATAGGTTACATGATAAATATTGTTAAGGTGTTAGAACATTTGTTCTGTGTTTTTTTTTTTTTAAAAAAAAACACACAAAAAACAAAACATCAAATTTAGACCAGAGCACATTGCAGGTTTGGGTATTTAATGCCCCTTCAATAAATATTTGCTTTACTCTCCATTATTATCTCTTGAAGCTAAGAATCTGATGCCTACTCTTTCTTAAAAGAGAAAGCAAGAAAGGCACCCAGATTTTTCTCATCAGATTTTTGGAGTAGTGCAGGGCTATGTAACTCGTATTTTAGGACATTCTTTTCACTCTTTAGTATATCAGATTTTCCTTAGTCAAACTTCAGAATATGTGTGTGCATTTTGAAGATATTTTTCATACAATATTTTTATTTTATACAATAAAAATATATAAGGTACTCTATTTTTATTGTAACTCAGATATGACTTTCCTCCTTTTACCCATATCTGGGGATAGCCCCCACAAGTCAAAGGCATTGTTAGATGCTGGGGGTATTTTACACATGCAATTATCTGCAACAAAAGCAAGGGAAGAGAATTAATAGGCAGAGAATCTCTGAGGATCAGCAAAGTGTCGTGTATCCAGTATGTAGTGTTGGTCTGGCCCAGCAACTTAACTTTCATGATTTTTTCTGTAATCTTTTACATATAGGCTGCATATATAGATAAAGCACATCACACTGGAGCCAACCATGTATTTAATGGATGTGTACCCAATTCTGTGCAAGCTATTGTAGGGGTTATAAAAAGTGCTGTGAGACATGGTTTCTGCCTTCAGGGATCTTAACCTAGTTAAGAGAGAAAAATAACATGGGCAACTAGAAGAAAAATCTCATCCTAGCCATTATTTGTATACCTGAGGTTAAGATATAGAAGGGAAAAAAGAAGATTCAGAAAACATTGCACAACTGTAGAATAGCTATGACATAACATGCATGCTTGTTAATAGCCTTAAAAGAATTGGAGGTTGGAGGTTTGAGCTGACATTTTAATGATGCATTAGTGTGATGTGGCCCCCACAAAAGCAACTGAAATTTTCAGCTATAATAATTGAAGTATAATAATGAAAATAATTGTGGTTATGTAGCCTGAAAAAGATAAGATGCAGGAGAGAGAGCATGATATCTGTCTTTAAATATTGGAAGGACTTCCCTAGGGAAAAAGACTAAATTTGTCCAATATTACCTCCAAAAATGGGTGAAAACTACGGGAAGGCAGACTTTTGGCTCAGTAGGAGGAAGGAATATCTAAAATAAGACCTAGTTAAACATAATACAGGACTTCTTCATAGCAGGATTCTTTCCTAACATTAGAAGGAAAGGGATTTTACTATCACATGGGAGTGGAGCGGTAGGAGTGGTAGCAGTGTTAATTTGGCCAGTGGTTCCCAGACTTTTGGATTTCATAGACCAATAAAATTTAAATGAAAGTGCGAGCAGGAGGCACAAATTAGGGTTGCCAGTCTTATTTTGTTAAGGCATTAAGCACAATTAACTACCAACTACTGCTATTACCTCATACAAGAGAAGTGATTTTAAAAAAATGTTCCAGGTACTGGAAGAACATGATTTCCTAATAATCCTTTAAATGAAATATATTGGACTGAAAAAAAGCACTAGGTACTCTTGTTCATTTCACCTCAGAATTGTGAAAACTTCATTAAGGAACCACTGAGCAACTGACCTAAGATTTAGTGGCTGGTCTTTTTGCTCTGCTTTGGCTCTGCCCCCTGCCTTTAACTGAATTATTGAAGCCTGAACCCTGAACATATCTGCCTTATTAAAAGGCTAGATAGCAGGTAGTAAAATTCTGATAGAGGCTTTCTCTTATAATGAGAAGATACAAAGAATCTGTAAAGATAAAGCTTTGGAGAGAAGCATAGCAGCCATTTGAAATGTTTGGCTGTTTTAGGGGGTCTATAAATTGGTCAATGGAGAGGGCATTTTCCCCCACAGACTCAGAGAGGGGATATGCCATGGTTCTTGCTTTTCCATGCCTACCCTCTCACTGTATGTGTCATGCTTTGCTATCAATTGATAAGATAGCATTTAGTACTCAAGACTAATTTTAAGCAGCAGCTATGTGAAGTACTTATTCCTTCTTTGCTCTTTAGAATTCTTTCCAACAACTTTCCTTCAAAAGGGCTATCTATTTGAGACTCTATGTCAGATGAACTGGCTGATCACACTATGCTTAAAAGAAAATTTCCATAATTATTTTTGTGACCTCTAACTAAAACATTTGTCTGCAGTTTACTATCCTCTCTGGAAAATTGTTCTGTGCTTAGTTACAGAGAATTCCTTATGTGGAAACAAAGCAAAACCTTGCCTCCACTAAAATAGAGAATGCAACTCAAAGGTGCTAACCCCAGATTGGGCAATGGGGGAAGTAGACAGCAAGTAATATCTGTGAAAATGTATATTGGAGTACTTAACTTTTCAAAATGTAATAATGATAAAAGCTAATAGTTGTTGAACTAGGTTCCAAGTGCTTTTTTTAGGTGTTTTACATTATATTATTTAACTAGAGGCCCAGTGCATGAATTCATGCATGAGGGTTAGGGATGTGTCCCTCAGCACAGCCTGCACCCTCTCCAATCTGGGATATCCCTCTCACAATCCAGGACTGCTGGCTCACAACTGCTCGCCTGCCTGCCTGCCTGCCTGATCACCCCTAACTGCTTTTGCCTGCCAGCCTGATTGATGCCTAACTGCTCCCCTGCTGGCCCAGTTGCCCCTAACTGCCCTCCCCTGCTAGCCTGGTCACCCCTAACTGCCCGCTGCTGCCAGCCTGGTTGCCCCCAACTGCCCTTCCCTGCAGGCCTGGTTCCCCCAATTTGCCCTACCCTGCAGGCCTGGGTCCCCCCACCCCCAACTGCCCTCCCCTGTACGCCTGGTCACCCCTA